ATAGTGTACTGAATTGTGTCTAGAATAATGTGTGTTAAGTTTCCTGAAAATCGGTGCAGATTTAGATATAGCTCTCATATATAGTTTTGTCCGATTTTATGTAAATGTTGTACCAAAGTCCATATATATCGTTCGACTTGCACGAACTGTGGTACAGCGTACTGAATTAGGTCTAGAATGATGTGTGTTAAGTTTCCAGAAAATCGCTTCCGATTTAGATATAACTCTCATATATATTTTCGTCCGATTTTCTGTATATGGTGCACCAAAACCCCTATATATTATTCGATTTGCACGATATTTGGTACAGCTTACGGAATTAAGTCTAGAGTGATGTGTGTTGAGTTTCGTGAAAATCGCTTCCGATTTAGATGTAACTCCCATATATATTTTCGTTCGATTTTAGGTAAATGTGGCTCCACAGTCCCTATATATCTTTCGATTTGCACGAAATTTGGCATAGGGTATTGTGTTTGGTCCAGAATGATGTGTACTAAGTTTCCTGAAAATCGGTTAAGATTTAGATATAGCTCCAATATATAGTTTCTTCCGATTTTATGTAAATGGTGTACCAATGTCCCTATATATCATTCGATTTGCACGAAATTTGGCACAGCGTAATGAATTAGGTCTAGAATGATGTGTGCTGAGTTTCGTGAAAATCGGTCCAGATTTAGATATAGCTCCCATATATAGTTTTTTTAAGGCTTCGAGAAAATCGAGTTCGTTCAGTTTCATGTCAATGTTTTTTTTTCGAAAAGGCGACATCTGTTAGGATACATATGTAGAATATATTCCAAGTGGTGAAGGGTATCATCATATAGTCGGCCCCGTCCGACTTTTGAACTTTCCTTAATGGTTTAAAAAAAAAATACTTTTTTGGGTAATTAAAAATAATTTTTAGGGTCTTTTTAGGGTCATTGCCATAGGTCTTTAGACATTACGTGGATTTTTGGAATTTTTTTTTTATGTAGTTACCTCAGGGTTATTAATTTTTCTTTGAGTGTAATCCTGCTATCATTTAATCAAATCGTTTACCTTTAGTAGGTTGCTGTGTTTTTTTTCGTTACGAATTTTCAAACACATTGTTGCATTGTTTAGTTTTTTTTTAGCCACAATGTGTACTTGACAATTTTGATTTTATCCCAAGCTATTATTACATACATATACGATGTTACCAAAAGTTCAGCCACATTACGAACTTGGGCATTGTTGCCCGGTTTTTTGTTTTTTGGGTTAGCAAATTTTCATGTAATTTAAGACTAAAATGCGTCTTTAGACAGAGTGAGGGTATGAAGAAAAATAATCGATGTGGAGGGATTGGTCGTCTGCTAAAATGTGGCATTTGACGATGTGGAATCTCCATACAGAGGAATTTATTTCGTTTGTTGTTGTTGCAATGTTAACCTTAATTATTAATTGTTTTTGGTGTGTGTGTGGGCTTGCACGCATGTTGCTGCCTCTTTGTTTTGTGTGTTTGAAGAGTGCAACATATTAATGCCAATTTTTTTTCTTCATAATTTTGTTGTTGATTAATAATAAAAAAAACTGAAAAACGTTTGAAAAGTATTTGAAATCCCCCTGTTGCATGTAAGCTTACATGTGTATTTTTTGTTGTTTTTTTGGTATTTGGAAATATTTTTTTGTGTGCAATATTTTAAGGTTGTTGAGAATGTTAGGTAGGCAGTTGGATAATCGTTGTTTTTGGATGGCGGATTATATAGGTTAGACATTTTGTAAAATATGTTGCAAAGAAATTACAAATACTTGGTGTAAAAAATTAAAAAATCCCCGCCTGTCAATGTACCCCAAAAAAATCCTTTTAGAAAATTCACGCCCGTCTATGGACGCAAAAAATATTTTTAAAAAATCCACGCCAGTCTAGGGGCGCCAAGATATTTTTAAACCGGTAAGTAAAGTAGTAAAGTCGGACGGGACCGACTATATGATACCCTTCACCACTTTGGGTATATTCTACATAGTCACCTAACAGACTTTTCGAAAGGACATTGAAATGAAATTGAACTTTGTTGCACCATTTACCTTAAATCGGACGAAAATATATATGGGAGCTATATCTAAATCTGAACCGATTTCCACCAAACTTAGCACACATCATTCTAGACTTAATTAAGTATCCTATGTAGAATTTCGTGCAAATCGAAAGATATATAGGGAGTTTGGTGCACCATTTACATAAAATCGGACGAATCTATATATGGGAGCCATATCTAAATCTGAATCGATTTTCACAAAATTTATCACACGTCATTCTGGACCTAATTTAGTACCCTATGCCAAATTTCGTGCAAATCGAAAGATATATAGGGACTTTGGTTCAACAGTTACATAAAATCGGACAAAGATATATATGGGAGCTATATCTAAATCTGAAATGATTTTCACGAAACTTAGCACACATCGTTCTAGGCCTTATTCAGTACGCTGTGCCAAATTTCGTGCAAATCGAAAGATATATAGGGACTTTGGTGCCCCTTTTACATAAAATCGGACGAAACTATATACGGGAGCCATATCTAAATCTGAACCGATTTTCTCGAAACTTAACACACGTCATTTTGGACCTAATCCAGTCCCATATGTCAAATTTCGTGCAAATCGAAAGTTATATAGGAACTTCGGGGCACCATTTACATAAAATCGGATGAATCTATATATGGGAGCCATATCTAAATCTGAATCGATTTTCACGAAATTTATCACACATCATTCTGGACCTAATTTAGTACCCTATGCCAAATTTCGTGCAAATCGAAAGATATATAGGGACTTTGGTTCAACAGTTACATAAAATCGGACAAAGATATATATGGGAGCTATATCTAAATCTGAAATGATTTTCACGAAACTTAGCACACATCGTTCTAGGCCTTATTCAGTACGCTGTGCCAAATTTCGTGCAAATCGAAAGATATATAGGGACTTTGGTGCCCCTTTTACATAAAATCGGACGAAAATATATATGGAAGCTATATCTAAATCTGAACCGATTTTTACGAAACTTGGCACACATAATTCTGGACCTAATTCAGTACTCTGTGTCAAATTTTGTGAAAATCGGAAGATATATAGGGACTTTGGTGCCTATATCGGACGAAAATATATATAGGAGCCATATCTAAATCTGAACCGATTTTCACCAATTTCAATAGGGTTCGTCCTTGGGCCAAATAATTGACTTGTGCCAAATTTCGTCCAAATCGGATCATAATTGTGACCTGTACTTTGTTTACAATGTAACATCTACAGACGGACGGACATGCATAAATTACAAACATATGCACAATGATATAATACCCTGTACCACAGTGTGGTGTAGGGTAGAAAAATATATATTTTTGAATAATCCACGCCTGCTCAAGGACCCCAAAAAATATTTTTTTTAAATGCACGCCTGGTCAAGGACCCCACAAAATATATTTTTTTTAAATCCCCGCCTGGTCAAGGACCCCAAAAAATATTTTTTTTTAAATCCCCACCTGGTGAAGGACCCCAAAAAATAATTTTTTTAAATCCAAGCCTGGTCAAGGACCCCAAAAAATAATTTTTTTAAATCCCCACCTGGTGAAGGACCCCAAAAAAATAATTTTTTTTAAATCCCCACCTGTTCAAGGACCCTAAAAAATATTTTTTTTTTTTTTTAATCCACGCCTCGTCAAGGACCCCAAAAAATATTTTTTTTTAAATCCACGCCTGGTCAAGGACCCCAAAAAATAAATTTTTTTAAATCCACACCTGGTCAAGGACCCCAAAAAATAATTTTTTTTCAATCCACGCCTGGTCAAGGACCCCAAAAAATAATTTTTTTAAATCCCCACCTGGTGAAGGACCCCAAAAAATAATTTTTTTTAAATCCCCACCTGTTCAAGGACCCTAAAAAATATTTTTTTTTAAATCCACGCCTGGTCAAGGACCCCAAAAAATATTTTTTTTTTAAATCCACGCCTGGTCAAGGACCCCAAAAAATATTTTTTTTTTAATCCACGCCTGGTCAAGGACCCCAAAAAATAATTTTTTTTCAATCCACACCGGTCTATGGACCCCAAAAATAGTTTTTAAAAAATCCACGCCTGTCTATGGACCCCAAAAATATGTTTAAAAAATCCCAGCCTGTCTATGGACCATGAAAAAATATTTTTGAAAAATCTACGTTAAATTTGGCACGTAAACAAAAAATCCAAAATAAATTATGGTAATGACAAAAAATGATTTACCAAATCAAAAGGAATCCGCAGAATTGAGGAGAAGAGACGATTATGGGGAAATCCTCAAGTACACAGCCGAAGATAATTTTTTTTTATTATTGATTTTCCTAATGCCGATCCGATGGAGGTAAACAAAAACATTGTGGAAACATAAACATAGCTCTCAAAATTTAATGCCAAGGCATGACAAGAGAGCATAAACCCCCAGTGAGCCTCACTCTTGAGTGCTCTCCAAATAACATGGCTAACTTTGTTGTAATGTGTGGTTGCCTTACCATCGGGTCTTACCAATTTAAATTATCATTGAGCCATGATGGTAGTGCGCCTGGCCGACTGTTGAGTCAATTTAATGAAAATCAACGACAATTCGTCGAAACTTCACTCAGTTGTCGACAAACTTTTAAACGTAACGGTTGTGAGCGCATGCGCATGGAGGTCGCATTAAAACGGTGTTAACCATTTTTTTTCTTGGCTAAGAGCTTTGCAGTTGTGTTCGAAAAAAAAAAACAACAAACAACAAAAAAGTGAATTTGTTAATACCCCCATACCACAATGGAAGTTAAACGAATTGCACAAAATATTTGAAAAGAAAAAAAAAAATAAGCAAGAAAATTTGAAATTGAAAATGAATTGAAAAAAATCAATACAAAAAAAAGTGTTGAAAAAATTAAAAAAAAAAATTGAAGTGGAAAATTTTGGAAATTCAAACGCCCAAAATAAATATTTGAAATCGAAATTTTGAAAAAATCCCCCCTTCAAAATCCCTCGTTGAAAAATGGTTGTGGTCCCCGCATTGGGCGCCGCTGCCTCCTCCGTGGCTGGCCTGCTGTTTAAGGCCAGTTCAGCCTCCACAGTTGCTGCCTCTGCCGGCCTGGCAGTAGGTGCCTCCAAACTAAGTCTGGCCATTGCTGGTGCCATTAAGCTGGCCACTGCCATTATCGGAGTGGGTAAACTAACCATCATACCTTTTCTGATAGCCGCCATTGCCTATTATAATTATGATCTCTTCGATCCGGAAAATCGTCCTTTTAATGTGAAAGAAGTTGATCGTGTTTATGATTTTATTATAATTGGTGGTGGTTCAGCGGGCTCCGTGTTGGCTTCACGGCTATCAGAAGTACCTCATTGGAAAGTGCTGCTGCTGGAGGCAGGTGGCCATGAAACGGAAATTTCGGATGTACCCTTGCTGTCGCTGTATTTGCATAAAAGTAAAATGGATTGGAAATATAGGTGAGTTATTCGAAAGGGGAGAAATTCGATAGAAAAATAGGATAGCAATAAAAATATACTGGGCCTGGGGGTTAACAACAAAATTTAAATTTTTATACCCTGCACCACACTGTGGCACAGGGTATTATGTCTTTGTGCATATGTTTGTAACAGACAAAAGAAATCGAGATAGACCCATGGTTCCTTTTGAAAATATGCATAGAATCAATTTCTAAGTCGATTTACGCATGTCCGTCTGTCCGTCCGTCCATGTATTTTTGTGAACACATTGCAGGTCGCATTTATGATCCGATTTGAATGAAATTTGGCACATATCACTTATTTGGCCCAAGGACGAACCCTATTGAAATTGGAGAAAATCGGTTCAGATTTAGATATAGCTTCCATATATAGTTTCATCCGATATTATGTAAATGGAGCACCATACAGCCAATATTTCTCCGATTGAGACAAAATTTAGCATGGAGTATTGAATTAGGCCCATATTGATATATGTCAAGTTTTGAACCGGTTCAGATTTAGATATAGCTCCCATATATAGTTTCGTCCGATTTTAGGTAAATGGAGCACCAAACTCTCAATATTTGTCCGATTGAGACAAAATTTTGCAAAGAATACTGAATTAGGTCTAGATTGATACATGCTATGTTTTCTTGACATCGGTTCAGATTTAGATATGGCTCCCATATATAGTTTCGTCCGATTTTAGGCGTGGATTTTTTTAAAATATTTTTTCCAGGACCAAAGACCTGGATTTTTTAAAAATATTTTTTCAAGCATCCAAAGGCGTGGATTATTTAAAAATATTTTTTCAAACATCCAAAGGCGTGGATTTTTTAAAAATATTTTTTCAAGCATCCAAAGGCGTGGATTTTTTAAAAATATTTTTTCAAGCATCCAAAGGCATGGATTTTTTAAAAATATTTTTTCAAGCATCCAAAGGCGTGGATTTTTTAAAAATATTTTTCAAGCATCAAAGGGCGTGGATTTTTTAAAAATATTTTTTTCAAGCATCATCCAAAGGCGTGGATTTTTTAAAAATATTTTTTCAAGCATCCAAAGGCGTGGATTTTTTAAAAATATTTTTTCAAGCATCCAAAGGCGTGGATTTTTAAAAAAAAAATATTTTTTCAACCATCATCCAAAGGCAAGGATTTTTAAAAATATTTTTTCAAGCATCATCCAAAGGCGTGGATTTTTTAAAAATATTTTTTCAAGCATCCAAAGGCGTGGATTTTTTAAAAAATATTTTTTTCAAGCATCCAAAAACGTGGATTTTTTAAAAATATTTTTTCAAGCATCATCCAAAGGCGTGGACTTTTTAAAAATATTTTTTCAAGCATCATCCAAGGGAGTCGATTTTTTAAAAATATTTTTTCAAGCATCAAACAAAAGCATTGATTTAAAAAAAAAAATAAATAATAACAAAAAAATAAAATAAAAAAATCTCTCCTGTTGTTAGACCCCTAAAAATAGTTTCAAAAAAAATCCATGGTTGTTATTACACTTCTAAAAATATTTTTAAAAAATTTTCGCCTGTGGTTTGACCCCTAAAATTAATTTTAATAAAATCCTCTTCTGTCCACGACTGTTGTTAGACCTCTAAAAATATTTTTTTAAAAATCCACGCCTGTTGTTAGACGCCTAAAAATAATTTTAATAAAATCCTCTTCTATCCACGCCTGTTTTAGACCTCTAAAATATTTTTAAAAAACTTTATTTTTTTTCTTCTTCTTATTTTCTTTTCAAAAAAAAAAAAAAAATATTCTTCTCCCCAAGACCAATTATGTTCTTTTTTTATTTTTAATGGCATCTTTCACCACAATAGAAAATAATAAAAAAACAACCGAACAGTCATTAAAACAATTTCTAGAACAGGATTGAGATGCCAAGTCAGTCGTGTGCTGACATACCAACCAACAATCATGTCAAACATTGTAAAACTCAGAAAGACAGAATATTAGAGATACCAAGAAAGTGAAAATCGATATTCTAACGGTACTGCACAACCATTATCATCACCATTATTATGGGTTTAATGTTAGCATAAGAAAAACAAAAGACTTAAGAAACAAACATGTTATTGGATGGATTGATCATAGGCTATAAAGATAATTGGATGGTATGAGGGAGAGGGAGTGGAGAGTAGAGCGGGAGAGAAGAGTGGAGTGGGAGTAGAGGGGGAGAGAAGAGTAGAGGGGGAGTAGAGAGTGGAGGGGGAGAACTGAGTGGAGTTCTGATGCCATAAAACCCACCACACATGTAGGCCATAAAATCAAATGGAATTCCCATATTTTCCATTGTTTTTTTTTTCTAATCAGAATTGGGTTAGTTTTTTTTTTTTGTAATAAAAATTAGTTTTCTATAGAAAATCAATGAGATTTTTTTTTGTACAACTTTAAAATTTCTGTTATACTGTGGTACAGGGTATTATGTCTTTGTGCATATGTTTGTAACAGGCAAAAGGAAACGAGATAGACACAAGGTTCCTTTTGAGAATATGCATGGAATCACTTTTTAAGTCGATTTATGCACGTCCGTCCGTCCGTCTGTCCATGTTAAATTGTAAACAAAGTACAGGTCGCATTTATTATCCGATTTGGATGAAATTTGGCACAGCTCACTTATTTGGCCCAAGGATGAACCCTATTGAAATTGGGAAAAATCGGTTCAGATTTAGATATAGCTCCCATATATATTTTCGTCCGATTTAAGGTAAATGGGGCACCAAAGTCCCTATATATGTTGCGATTTGCACGAAATTTGGCATAGCGTACGGAATTAGTTCCAGAATAATGTGTGCCAATTTTCGAGAAAATCGGTTCAGATTTAGATATAGCTCCCATATATAGTGTCGTCCGATTTAAGGTAAATGGTGCACCAAAGTGCCTATATATCTTTAGATTTGCATGAAATTTGGCACAGCGTACTGAATTAGGTCTAGAATAATGTGTGCCAATTTTCGAGAAAATCGGTTCAGATTTAGATATAGCTCCCATATATAGTGTCGTCCGATTTAAGGTAAATGGTGCACCAAAGTGCCTATATATCTTTAGATTGGCATGAAATTTGGCACAGCGTACTGAATTAGGTCTAGAAAGATGTGTGTTAAGTTTCCTGAAAATCGGTCCAGATTTAGATATAGCTCCCATATATATTTTCGTCCGATTTAATGAAAATAGTGTACCAAAGTCCCCATATATCTTTCGATTTGCACGAAATTTGGCATAGCATAATGAATCAGGTCGAGAATGATGTGTGTTAAGTTTCCTGAAAATCGGTCCAGATTTATATATAGCTCCCATATATAGTTTCACCCGATTTAATGTAAATGGTCCACCAAATACCCTATATATCTTTCGATTTGCACGAAATTTGGCACAGCGTAATGAATTAAGTCTAAAATGATGTGTGTTAAGTTTCCTGAAAATCGGTCCAGATTTACATATAGCTTCCATATATATTTTCGTCCGATTTAATGTAAATGGTCCACCAAATACCCTATATATCTTTCGATTTGTATGAAATTTGCTATAGCCTACTAAATTGGGTCTAGAATGATGTGTGTTAAGTTTCGTAAAAATCGGTTCAGATTTAGATATAGCTCCCATATATAATTTCGTCCGATTTAATGTAAATGTTGCACCAAAGTCCCTCTATATCTTTCGATTTGCACGAAATTTGGTATAGCGTAATGAAGTAGGTCTAGAATGATGTGTGGATTAAGTGTAGAAAGATGTGTGTTAAATTTCGTGAAAATCGGTTCAGATTTAGATATAGCTCCAATATATTTTTTCTTCCGAGTGTATGTAAATTGTGCACAAAAGACCCAAAATTTGTCTGATTACCACACATTTTGGTACAATGAACTGTAGTTAAGATAAGTTAATCTCTGACAAGTCTCATATATGCTATATCTATAGCAAATGACCAAAAGAAGAATTTAGTATAGGTTGTAGAATGACATGTTTATGGATCCATTTTCGTGTTTATGGTCCTTCAACGTCTGTTAGGATTCATCTGTTGAATATACCCAAAGTGGTGAAGGGTATCATATAGTCGGCCTCGTCCGACTTTACTACTTTCCTTACTGTTTTTTTTTTTTGTGGAATTTTGAAATATCCCAGTAGCTTGCTATTTTCTTTAACAATTATGAAGTCTTTGTTGTTTTGTTATTTCATTAAAAATCGGTGTTTTTATGAATTCGCCAAATAAATTTTCGCTTTAAAATTTTTATTTACTTATGTTGAAAGTTGGCGGCGACCAGGTACGTTTCTCTTCTTGGCCAAAGGCGGCCTATGCGGGCAATTAATTTTGCCACAAACAATTGTTTTGTAAATATTACAAAAGTACAGTGGAAACTATTGCACAGTAGTAGAAAAAAAAATAAATAATAAATAATATAATATATTAAAAAATTCAATTATGTTTTTAAATTATTTCTTTACGATTGGTTTTTAAAACCCCAAAGAAAAAAAAAATTTTTTTTTTAAATAATTCCAAATAAAATGTTTTACGAGGCCCCACTGTATGGGCTATGTTTTATGTTTACAAACAAAATGTCAGCTTATCCCACTTCCTATAAAATATTGATTTATTTATTGTTTAAAAAAATCAAAAAAAAAATTTATTTTCATTCAAAAATTTATACAATACAAATTTTAACAACAATTTTGTTATTGTTTAAAATTATTAATCATGTTATTAACTACTAAATTATTTCATAAATTCAACACAAAACAAAAAAAAAACCCATCTCCAAAAATTCGTTTTTAAATTATTTACTTTCTTTTCATTCATTTTAATTGCCTGCCACCACGTTTGTGTCTTAAGTCTTTTGTTTTGGACTTTGCCAGTCATCACCTCAGCAGCAGTAGTGTCTTAGGTCAGTTAATTTTTTCGTACCAAACAGATGTTTGTCTATTGGCATAATAGCGTCGGCTATGTGATGATTTTAATTTGTTTTTAATGAATTCATTAAAGTTAGACGTAGACGAGAG